GGCCGCCGCGAACCAATCGTCCCAAGTCTGCCGCCGCCATTCAGTATTTCAAATCGGGTCAGTAGTTCGTTCACACCATCAAGCCGTGCAAGATGAATAGTGACTGCATTGGCTTAGCAACATCTTGCATCTTGGCGCCCTGAATTGCCCCAACCTGACTCTACTGCCGAAATCTAGGCGCGCAATTTGCACCGTGCTGGTAATCGAGTTTGCCCCAGAATCTGGAGAAACAAACCTTAACTGAGATGAGGCCCTGCGCTCGTGACGTCGATGGGTTGCTATCAGACTCATGAAACAGACAAGACAGCCTTGTTCAGTCGCATCTATCCACGCGTCGCAACGTCGAGTCGCATTCGCATTCGCACGGCCAACACCGGCTCCTCAGCCTCCCAAACGAGCCATTGGTTCATCGTCACATTACTTCATACAAACTGCCTCACTCTGCCGCGTGCGGGAAATTCCGTGTTTTCTCCCCTCGTCTCAAAGCATCCCGTAAGCCATATGCCCGGCAGCTGCATATTCAGCCCCAAACGGCATGCCTTCGGAACAACCTCCTGTGCGAGGTGGAAGTTTTCCATTTTCGGAATCATGTCGGATTCAAGATGCTAGCATTGATTACCCCGCTTTGCTCCGTTATGCCAACCTTGAATGGCTTTACCTCTTGGTCCCCTTCCACGTCTCTCCGCGGCCAACTGCGGCAAGTTTTGGTATCGCTAGATGCAATTGGCGCCGTCGTTTGTGGCACTGGGGGCTAGCTCGACGCTCTGAGAAAGTTTCCACTCCTCCCATGGGGAGATGGAGACATGGAGAAGCAGGCAGCTCTTGCTAGTCCGCAGCACTTGAGCTGTTGCACAGTACAGTACCTTGTGACAGCGGCAGCAGCATGGTGCTAGATTGCTAGACAAGGCAACAAAAGCCCAGATGATACTAGGACCTCTTTCTGGACGTCAAATCGTACGTCTGAGGCTTTGGACCAAGTCATTTATGGAATAGGTGCGGCTGACCCTGTCCCTTTTCCCCAGGCTTCCTTGCAGCCGGCATGGGCTTCCAGTAAGCTCAACATCCGTCTCACCGAGAGCTCAGTTGTTGGCCAGTCCAGTGAAGAGAATCGATAGGTCTCGGCCCGCTACGGGGTGATAGGTCTTGTGGGATTTGGCCGGCCCTATGGAACATGCACGATAGTCCGTGCTGTTCCAGATAACCGCAGTGCTCGTACAGGCATACCCCGGGAAACATGCCATTGTGGCCATGGGGTTTAGTCAAGCGCAAACATAATGGCATGTACTGTAAGTGTGCATGCGAGCTATATCCGTAATGCAGTCTTTGGATGCGGAGAGTTCCGTATTACAGTACCTGATTTGTTCAACTTGTTCCCACGACAAACAAACTCCAAACTCGGAGAATGGACCGCCCAATCTCATTAACACGCCGGAAACTCCACCGCCGCGGCGCTGACATGAACACGTGCTGCATTAAGCATTGTAAGCCTTGATTATTCTCTCCTTGGCGTCTCTATATCGGACGCTTGTACCTTTGGCACGCTGCTATTCGCAACTTGAACGCGGCACTAAGAGCGAATTCGGTGTCTGGCCTCGGTTATTCGGTAGTTTGTACAGCGATCGGTTGAGGATTCAGTTCCCTGTGGTTTTACGTCGGCGATAGACACCGACTTGCATAGCCTTCGCCGATGGTGAAACTCGTCAGTATTCGAGTAAGATGGTCATCACTAACAACATCTATACGAAAATGAAGGAAAAGTAAAAAAAAAAATCATGATTTGTAGAAGCTGACTCGCCAAGATTCTTGATTAGTAGAGGAGGGAAGTACCTTGGCAAACATACACTTCCGGCCGAAAAATAAGAAAAGTGCGGGGGGAGTGGCTCCTTCCACCCACGATCGAGAACTTCCAATAGCGGGCTAGGAATTCGTCCAGGATATTTCGAAGCTGCACCTCCATAAACTTTTGATCAACACTTTATTATCTAACATCTCCGAGCCTCATTACTGATTCCCCCGCCTTCTTTCCCTTCTCTTCCTTTCCTAGAGGTCATTTCAAGCTTCCCGTGAAAGTGACATCGATATGACCTGTAAGTGCTCACATCGGAAGGGGCCCGCGGGAACTCCCAAGTGTCACTGTCAGATGAATCGAAGCCACACATCACGTTAATTACACGTCGAGGGTAAGCACAAAGCGGGCTATCGATGAAAACGGCTACGGGAAACGAAACCGCTAAGTCTCGGAAAGGACGCCAATCTCAAGGCCCTCCAATCCGAATCGCCGCAGCGGCATTATCATCTTTTTCCGCTACGACACCCTCACAAGAAGACGGCACGTCGGTTGGGGAAGAAAACGGACACGATGATTAAGTGTGAAATGCGCCGTATTTCGTTCCTTTGGCTATTCTATTACCCGAGAGTTCACGTCGTTGACTAACACGAGGTGGTGGATGGCGCTATCGCTGACAGGCTTAAATTGAGCCGACGGGCTTTTTCGTGGCTCCGGCTGAGAGAGCTTGCCCTTTTCACTCCGTAAACTGCTTTGCTTTCCATCATCAATTTTACCCGCCGCCCTTTCGAATCACAATACTTAATTCTTGGTCATGGAAGAAACACATGCATCTTGTTTTAGAAGAATCCGAAACAAGGGGCATAGTTGTACCAGATTCGACAGACTGGATGCCATTTGCAAGTGAGCAGGCGCACACTACCATTTTGCCTATTCAAGTATCTAGAGCCATCTTTAACTTCATAGTCGAGTTACCCAATGCCTTGATACTCGATCCAGGAGCCTTGTATTCAAGGTGAAGACAAATTATATCTCTGATTAGAACCCAAAGAGTCAAAGACGTAGCATTGGGTTAGTTTCGGAACTACAACCCAGTGGTTTCGGAACTACAACAAATCCATTGAGCCTTCCACACTATGAATATATACGCCATATCTTTACATACTCATGTAGTAATTTATCATCACTAGTACGATATACAAGCTGAAAATAACGCAGCACTAGACACAACAACTATCTCGTATAGGTGGGCGTATTCGATAGATTTTACAGGTGTTCTATTTAAACCTTGAATCACCAGTATTTTGGTAGTAAAGTTTCTCCCGCATAGCAATAGTTTGGCAATCTACCCCCATGCCTTGATTAGCCCCATAATTGTTGCTACTCAAGATGACGGCTATGCCCATGACAATAGCTGAGTTGCGGGAACGCATCTGAGATGCATAGTCAGGGCTGGGCCGCATATTGATGGTTGAGATGCATCACAACGGCCGAGTACATGGCGTGACAGCCGGCATGTTTAATATATTTGAGACGTACCAGGTATAATTCACAGCTGGATCGACCAAATTGGCACCACTGCATAGCTGTGCCAGACCGGATGCATGAAAGTATATAGCATCCCTAGTACTCTATTGGATGACCTTTATCGAGAGGTGGATCTCGTTTGTACATATAGCAACGAAGATGTTCATAAGAGACAGTATTAGATCCCTGGTTGAATATGTGTATATGTGATAGTAAAACTATAATGATGTGATGGCATGGGGCTTGACGCATATTTATCATCGTTTAGTTCTTTGAATTGATACTACTTCCAAGTCAGCCACTGATTCAACGAAACGTGTATAAAAGCACCCGAAAAGACGTAATGGAGAGATGCCAAGTAGACATGGAGAGCAATATTGCGTGAAGCAAGAGAGCATGAACTACAATTATAGCGAGATTGGTCAAACAGTATATTTACCCTCTCTAGGAGTCTGAGGTATTGCTTGGGTTGAGCTTCAAAACTCAACGCCTAGAGTAAAGTCGTCTTCTATTCAAGTGCGGTTCATAAATGAAGTGTTCACGCATTGTCAAAGAAACAGATTGGAGACACCTGCAATATAGAACACCAATCGCAGGTCCGCGGACTCCGATGCAATAAACAATGTACAACGTAGATGTAACAACAACGTCTTGATGTGGAAGCTGGTCAGGACGAGACACTAACTATTCAAAAGGCCCGGCCCTTGACATGCAGATTTTAGCCTTTTTAGTCGTATTGGAGTATCATAATCGCAAGCTTTAAGAGATTCATCAAAATAGTGATGGTTGAATACAAATACAGCCATACAGTCATAACCAAGACGGGCATACAGTCAGTGCCAGTAGCATAGACGGCTCCTCACGAGCATCAAATACAACACGACACAATTAATCCGACAAATGCCAAAAGCTGCCGTCCAAAGGAAAATAGATAAATTCAACATCAAGAAGGACAAGTCGGTCTGGCATCACAGCAGTTTCGCTTGTATGCTCCCCGCATCTCAAGCTCTCGTCGCCTGTCTCGTAGCGTTCCATTGCATGAACCAGTCTAGCCAATTCATCTCCCCCAGCCCCAAATCCCCAAAGACGATTCGTCCCCCCGCACAAAGCTCTTTATAACGTTACTTTAGACTTAAAAGCAACGCGGAGAGCTAAAATCATTTCAGGGAGGACCGTGACGATCCTTTCCTCGTCGGAGGGAGACAACACGCATAAACCCCCCAATTGCCGGGTCGTACACGATCACGATGGAGGGCACCATGTGAGTAAAGGGCCGTATCTGTACAATGGTCCGGAGAAGTGCGATGTGAATACGGGCGAGTCGTTCGGTCACGATGCCTAAAAGAGAGGAACTGGTTGCCTTTCACATGTGCTGCAGTGACGGCGCGGATACTGGGACAGGGCAAAAGGAGAAGTCGCAGCCGCGGTTCTGGTAGACGACATGAAGGTCACGCGGAACATTCGCATTAATGGGAAATGCATTCAACAATAACGAGAATCTTGATTTGGCAGCTTGTTGGCAGAAGCAAGGTCAGGGGAGGAGAGGCAGCTCTGGCAGATCCCTATAAATAAGGTATCGTCAGCCCAGCTACATCTTACGTGAGGAGCAACTCGACCTCGACTCGACCACTTCTCTCACAACATCTTTCACCTTAAGAGTCGATAGTTGGACAACTAAAGCCTCGCCATGTTTCTTCCCCTTTCTGCCTTGGCCAGCGTGCTACTAGGCACAGCATCGGCATTCGAATACTACACTTTTGACGGACCAGGATCGCCATCATGCCACAACGTCGTCGAAGTCCACAACGCAACAAGCGTCAATGAGATGGTGTCCCTTGTCAAAGACGCTTCAACCCGTGGTCTGCAAGTCCGTGCCGGCGGGAGAGGCCACATGTGGTACGACACGCAGTGCTCAGACGACGAGACGGTCATCATCCGCACCGAGTTTGTCAACGGCATCTCCGACTTTGACCTTGATGGTGGATCTGTAGTGGTTGAGGGCGGCGTCACCTTCTTCCAGCTGGCCGAGTATCTTCATGAGCGAGGTGCCAATATCGGTACTGGATTGGTTAACTGGAACATTACCCTTGGAGGCAGTATTGCGATGGGAGCGCATCGCACTTCATTGAGAGAGGATGCAGTGGTGGTTGGTGGTGTGCTTGCGCTGGATATCATTGACGGGAATGGGGATATTCAGCATATTGAGCGGGATGAGAGCAACGACGATTGGCTTGCTGCGTCAACCTCGTTGGGCCTCTTGGGGATTATTGCGAGGATAAAGATGCAAATCTTTCCAGAGACCAAAGTATATGCCATGCAAACGACGTTGGTCTTGTCTTCTATCTCTCACAACGGGTTTCCTTCAAGTTCAAGCTAACATTTATCTCTTCACAGTCTCGATGAAAAGGACGTCCTTAACGGAGACATTTACAAACTCATCTCGCCATATTTGACAGCCAACTTCTGGGTAAGCTCACAATCCATTGCATCTATCCTGATAAAAGAATAAGGCCACTTACATTATCACCCAGTGGTGGCCATCCCAGCGCAAATTCCACTGGCGCACATACGACATTGTGCCCACAAACACCAGCACCCAACAAGGCTTCCAATCCACATTCTCCGTCACGGCCCTCGAAGCCGCCGCCGCCGTCGTCCTCCTCAACAGCGGCAAGATCAGCCCCTTCCCCAACCTCGCCGCCGAGGGCATCTTCTTCGGGCTCTGGGAGAAGCCAAACTTCCACGACAAGGTCACCGACGAGGCCATCACCGAGTGGCCCGTCTACGGCTGGAACTACGACGTTCTCATCGGCGGGCTGTACCCCGGGCAGAAGCCCGAGTGGGAGTATGGGCTCAAGGGGTATACACTTGAGCTGGCGTTTCCCGTTACTAGGGCGAATGAGGTGTTGAAGCGAATTCGCGCGCTTTTTGATGCTGAGGAGGCCAAGTGGATGCCGATGGCTTCGACGTACAGGAGTGGTATTAACATCAAGTTTGGCAAGGCGCATTTTGACTTCCTTGGTCAAGTTACTACTGGTACGGCTGATAAGCAGGATTGGAGCAAGGGCGCGATCATGTTTGATTTCCCTTCGTTCCGGCCCAGTCTTGGAGACCAGAAGCGGTACAATGAAGCTTTCTGTAAGTTGTTCATTACAAGATCTCAATATCAAAACGATATCAATACTCATCATATGTCACCTTGCTGCAGATATCAACTTGGCCAACACGCTGGTCGATGAATTTCCATGCCGTCCTCACTGGACAAAGAACACTCGCGATGTGTTCCAGCGTGCCGTCAAGAATTTGGATCCCAACGTGAGTCCCGCTCCTTTCCTTCCTTTTGATCATAACTAAGTGTCTGTATACAGTACCTCGCTCGGTTCAAGGCCGTACGAGAAAAGTTCGATCCAAAGGGCATTTACCGCAGCGTTGTGGGAGAAATTATCGGCATGTATGACTGAGAGGGGAGGTTACAATGTCAGATATCAAGCTGTACATACAAGAACGAGTATTTAACAAAGAGGCAAATGTAAATTTAGGATTTTATTCTATGGAATGCAATAGACGAGAACTGTCTTGGTATCATTGAAAAGTATTCCATCGGAAAACTAAATTAGAGAAAGAAAAGTAACGCTCTTACTTGGAGAGCTCAAAGGAAGAAAGTCAGGGGTATCTATCACACAGGCTGACAAAGCGCTGTAATTAGGTAGGTAGACATATCCAACATGTCACGCAATCAATCGTCCCCTTGGCATTACTTGAGAAAGCTTCATTTCTTCACAGGGATGTAGGCCTTGTTGCCCATGGCCTTGTCCCACATTGTTTCGAGGATGCCACGCACAGGCCTTCGCTTGCCCACACCGGTCTCCATATCCGCCTTGAGCTTGTCATAGACGGAAGGCAGCGTCTCGGCCTTGTACTTCTTGCGCATCTCGTCGTAGACATCCTTGCGGTAGATGAGCCAGAACTCGTCTTCGGTGTAGTAAGTTCGAGCGTACAGGAGCTTGGCACCCATGAGCTCGGCGCTTCGCAGCTCGAGCTTGCGGTTGAGCTCGTAAAACGCCTTCGGGTCACGAGGTCCGCGGCCGTAGACGCCAACGGCAAAGATGCGTTGGTCCGAAACTTCATCGACGCGGGCGTTGAAACGAGAGGTCAAGCCAATCTCCTTGGGGGCCTTGCAAGGAGCCAAGAAGATCATCAGCTCTGGCAGGGTATCGTTGACGAAGCTAATGAATTCCTTGACCGTGCTCGCTGGAATGCCAAAATCTTGCACGACATACTCGTTGGCAAGGCCGGACTTGTGCAGCGCATGGTAGCACGTGCGGCTGTCGAGGAAGGGGTCGGCCAGGCGTTTGGTGAAGGCATTCTCGGGCACGTGGAAGTGCTTAAAGGCAAGTTTGCCACCCCAAAAAGCGCCATGGTCATAGCGGAAGAGATAGTCGGGTGTGAACATGTAGATGTCTATGGGTTTCTCGGCCGTGGGCTTCTTTTTAAGAGCGTCCTCAATGGTGTCGGCAAACCAGTGAACTTCCATCTTCTTGAGAGCAGACCTGCCCTGGGGCAGGAGATTGACAAAACGGCCAAACATGACGGCAATTGTACCCTTGCGGAAGTAGACTCCATCAATGAAGTGGATTGACTCGTCCTTGGTGGCCTCCTCAAACAAGTCGTGGGCCGTGGCAACGTCGTTGACCAGCTGGACGTCCAGCTTGACGTATGTAGTGGCCGGGATCAGCTCAATGGTGAGCAGGGTGACAATGCCAAACGTGCCCAAGCTGCCAGCAGCGTGCTCCAGCAGATCCGCATTGTGCTCGCGGTTGGCCGTTTCCAGCGTGCCGTCACCCAGCACAATCTCAATCTCGGAGACGGTATTGTTGAAGAGGCCATAGCGGTACATGCTGCTCTCACCGGAAAAGCCAGAGTAGCCACCGCCAACGGTGATGCCCTTAAATTCCATGACAATCTTTGGAATGACACCGTGCTTGAGGGTGTGGGCAGCCAGGGCGTCCATGGGCACCTTGGGCTCGGCTTGCACGGTCATGGTCTCCAGATTGACCGGGAAGATGCGGTCCATGCTGCTGGTGTCGACAATGGCATCAGCCTTGAAGGACAGTGGACGCGTGGAGCTTGTCGAGCCATGGTAGACTCGGAACGGCTTCTTGTTGTCGTAGAAGTGCTTGACTTGCTTCTGGATCTCGGCGACAGCAGCCTGGTGCTCCTCGAGAAGCTTATTGGGGTTCATCTTGATTAGCGGTTGGGGGGTATCAGTCTATTGACGAGAAAGAAGACGGTATTAATTAAGTCGAGGTAGAGAATCACAAACGTCAGGACGCCGAAACCACGCAATTGACAGCACCTCTCCGCCCAGATTCTGGTGGTGTCAGGAGGAGGAAAAAACAGGAAATGGACCACGATTGCCGGAGCTTTGCTGACCAGTGACGACGTGCTGTGACGCCAGCGGCAACCAGCTGCAGCATCGGCACCTGGGATTAGCGCTGTAGCTGCGACAAATTGGGGGGGCTGGGGCTGCTGACGTGCCTTGCTAAGCCCCCCAAGCTGCCGCTGTAGCATTGGCTGGAGCCGTTTTAGCTTGATGAGCTCGAACCATGCGTTCCTCCACTTGGGCTCGGATGATATTGTGAGCAGCACATGTAGACTGGACTTACAGGCAGCGTCAGATATTGTTAGCTTGCCCAGGTGATTTTATCAATATGAAATATCCGCACATGCAATGCCTACAGTACACGTACATATAGTTTGGCCAACTCAACGCCAGCTTCAGTCTTGAGCCTTGATACATTATATGTTATAAGTGATATCTGCATGTACACAACACCAAGCCGTAGAGTGGCTCCCATGTAGAGCTCCCACCAATCGGTTCCATTACCATGTCCGACTCCCCGTGCACGGCCTTGAACTAGCCCAGGCTTAGAGTGGAAGCTCTGACTTCAACTTACAAGACGTGCTGTCGCAGCTACATGGCGCTGGAATGCAATTCTTCTTGTTAGATGGTTCAAAAAGATGCAGATTTTTCAGATTGGGCATCAATTCTTTACCCAAAAAGACTTCAAGCAATGCAGCGCTGCTGCCGTATGGAGGGACCCGTGGACGTCAGTCATATATCCAATCTATTACCAGTTAACGTAGCCACGGTAGTGCATTATTACTCTGACAGCAGTTTCTAAGCAGTTGTAATATGCTATTGATGCTTCGTACTACTCGCCATATTCAACTTTATACGGCTTGATTCCCATAAAATATGATACCTACCGATCAGGAGCAAGCTGATAATTGTTAATTGACACAGCATAGCTACTTCGAAGTGGCAAAAGCACGTGGCAACTGGTAAACCGTATACATGTCGACTGCAACACCACTAGATCTTGGGTGGAGAGAGTTGCCGTTCAAGAAACCCAACAGCATGTCAAACCTATGAGATATAGTAGATGATGCTGAAAATTTCTATTTTTCACTCACATTGCATTCTTTGTAAATACCTTGATGGCCTATCAGTCGTCATACGTTGTAACAATTCCACGGGTCTCTTGCCCACGATTAGCTATGGACGGCTTTTGCATATATAAGGTCCATTCAACACCAATTTACTTTTTAGAATGATCAACAGCCTTGAGCCAAACTTTGCCTACTATACTCCTTGATTCTTTTAGACAGCACGAATATACCTAAAATCGCCAAGATGCCGGGATACGGAGCGCCCAGAGAATCTTCTGCTAGCAAGAGAGAACAGGTATGGTTTAGGTTACACTTATATTGACTTTCATATTAATGACGATATGCGTGCTCGGGATATTAGGCCAAGTCTAGCAGCAACTCGTCATCCAGGGGACATTCGCATACTCACTCACACGGAGACCGTTCGCAGAGCAGCACTCACTCCTGCGGTAGCTGCTGCTCTCACGGGTCTGGATCTGGATCGAGTTCTTCTAAAACGAAATAGAATGTTGAAAGGTGGTGCGAAGTGACAGTACAACATTGACCGAAGGAGGATTGGGCGTTTATCCTCTACGGGGACTTATTCTGTACCTAGTACCTTGCGTCGAAAATTTTAAAACCCCACAATTATAGTGATCTAAATACACATCGTTTGCTTAGTTTATATCGCCCAAAGTTGATTCTTCCCAAGCTCGTCTTCGCATCTAGTGACGGCTCTTGTCGAAGCATAACTTCGGTAGTATTTCTTCTCCGCTCAATATTAAAATAAGCTCTCGTATTGTATATGAAATAGTAGCAGTATGATTAGCAGGTTTAAGAACTTTTAGATTTGAGAATCTGCTGTAGTCGCGGCCGTTGAGATTTTGAAGCCATCCAATTCTTTCTAGGGTAGCTTTGGGCCAGACGCTTGGTGTAAGTCACAAGCTGCAAGATGATGTCGAAGCTATCGATAACGGTGGGTCTGGCGCGATGCCTCAAAAGCTCAGCTCGCGTGGTTCAACCATCAGCTTTGCGACTCACTGCAGTTCAAGATTCCATGACGCACAGCCAGCCATGTCGGCGATTTACAACCTCGAGCCACAGCCGACAGGCTCGGCGATCCTGCACACGACACTGGGAGAGATTCACGTCGAGCTCTTTGCCAAGCAGACGCCGCTAACGTGCCGCAACTTTCTGCAGCACTGCCTTGATGGCTACTACGACGGCACCATCTTCCACCGACTTGTTCCAAACTTCATCGTGCAGGGTGGCGATCCCACAGGAACCGGAAATGGCGGCGAGTCAATCTACGATGGAGGCGCTTTTGGCGGCGACCTGGATCCTTGGCCCATGGACCAGCGACAGGGACAGAACGCAGGGCCCAACGGCATCAACTTCAAGGACGAATTCCATTCCCGGCTCAAGATCAATCGACGCGGCATCTTGGCAATGGCCAACGAGGGGAAGCCCGACACAAACGGCAGCCAATTCTTCTTTACGCTGGACAAGGCAGAGGAGCTCAATGGCCGGAATACAATGTTTGGCCGAGTCGCCGGCGACACAATCTACAATCTGGCAAAGATTGGCGAATCTGAAGTTGACGAGGCGACCGAGCGACCCTTGTACCCAGTCAAGATCACAAGCGTAGAGATCTTGGTTAACCCGTTCGACGATATGACGAAGCGGTCGAGAGTGGCACAAACACAAGTGAAGCCAAAGGTGGACAAGGAAAAGAAGAAGAAAAGGAAGGGCGGGAAACAGCTACTGAGCTTTGGAGATGAAGAGGGCGACGAAGAAGTGCCCGTGTTCAAGAAGGCCAAATTTGACACGAGGCTAATCATGGAAGAGGAAAAGGAGACTCCGGCGTCTCAAGACAAGAGCTCAAAATCAAAGCCCTCCAAGCCCAAGGCCTCAGATAAGCAAGCGAGTGAGACCCGAACGACTCATGATAAAGGAAAGGAGCCAGCTTCAGATGTCATGGACAATGACGAAGAGGAGGAGGAGAGACAGCGAGTTATACCCACACCCAAGAAGCGCAAAGAGCCGTCCCCTGAGCCATCACCCGAGCCGGAGCCAGTACAAGAAAAGAGCGCGCTAGAAAAAGCTAATGAAGAACTCGCTGCACTCAAGGCTTCAATGAGGAGGACAATTCATTCTGGGGAACCTGTCCAGGAGAAGAAAAAGACGGCACTAGAGTCAATGATACCTGAGACGTCTATACGGGGAAGGAAAAGACGGCCTGGAGGCAACAACGCCTCGACGAATGAAGATCAAGCATCTCTTCGCATATTAAAAGCCTTTCAGGCGAAGCTCGACAAGGCTCCGCCATCCAAGGAGCTGCCCACCGAGACCCCTGTTGACAATGAGCAGGGCGAGGCAGAGAAACCCTCGCAATATGACGAAGCCGAGCTGTGCGATTTGCATTTTATTGCAAACTGCCAAAGCTGCACGTCTTGGGATAAGCAGGAAAAGGACGAGAGCGATGACGAAGGCTGGATGTCTCACGCACTTTCATTTGCGGCTGACAAACTGGGTAAGGACCTGAGCAACCGAAGGAAAGCTGAAGAAGAGTTGGTCGTCATAGATCCGCGGGAGAAGTCACGGACACTCAAGGAGGAGAAACGGGCTGAACGAGAGGCTCGGGCTGGCGGGTCTGGAAGGGCGTGGGATCAGGCACGAAACGCTCAAATGGCTAAGGCTGCTTCTTTGGCCGGTAGGGGAGCAAAATGAAATGGCGACACTCATGTTACGTCTCTTTACATCGATATTTATTTGGCATCATGGCGTAGCGTACGGAGTACTGCGAGATGGGCGGCAGCCAGTCTATATTTTATATAATTTGGTTATTGTTTAATATCATGATTTAAGGGGGAATATACCGGAAGCAACCTTTTGAGGATATCCAAATTGGATGAAGAATTTACTAGCTATTCTCCAGTATTGCCGTGAACTACTTGCCAAACAAACGTTTAGTCTCAGATATGACGCTAGACAGAGGCTACTGCAACAAGCTGATTTTCTTCTGTTCCACCCGTTACTACAAGGATCATTCACGGTTGATACAATTCAAGTCGCGAGCTGCTGTCACAGTTGTCAGACTGACTTTCTAGTCTGTGTTATCGACGCCATGGCTCTCAACAACCAAGTCTTCGTGGCGCAGTTGGCTAGCGCGTCAGTCTCATATTAGACGATATGATCCAAACATCAGTTTGGGCCATCTGAAGGTCGTGAGTTCGAGCCTCACCGAGGACATTGCTTTTTGCCCTCCACTCAAAGGTGGAGAGCTTCATGTCATTTTTTTTTGTACTTTACTTTTGGCAGTTGGAGAGGACAAAGAGCAAATGTCTTGCATGTTCATCGGAGATGTAAGGGACAGATTCATTGTTTGCAACATCTAGATTAAAAACCATTGTCTCGTGAATCTCCATTTGGATGAAAACGTTGAGAGGCTATTGTGACGCCTCATTTGGGCAAGGATCTCCGGTTCTTATGTGGACTCTGCTGCATGCATCATGTAAGTCTGCTTTTTTGACTAAGACCCTCTTGCTGTGAGTGTCAGCCTCTGTGTTTAAGCGAGTCAGTAAGTCAAAGTAAAGCATCATCCATGCATGAACAATTAATTGTATAGCTGTATTGTGTTTTGATATTCGTGATTTTCATTTTGAAATGCCCCGAGGACTCATTGTTCAACCAAGGCCAATACAACCAAGACATAAGCAACAAAGCTCAGCATTGTTTCGGCGGCGACTTTTTTTGCTTTGTACATCTTATCATCACGTGCGGAGCAGCCTTGCCAAGTGGGGATCAGAAAAATCAGAGCAGCAAAATGAGTAAGCACGTACAACATCCAAACATGGGCACCTGATACACCAATTAAAGTCAACTTTTGTACGCGCATACTCTTTGCATGTGAGCTCAAAATCTCACCATTCTCCATCTTTCTGTCCATCAACTGTCTGCTCATTCAATCTGAGCGCTGATTGGTTCGAAGCGGATGACCGCATCCCAATACAGTGCTCTGACCGAAGCCCCCGGCGAAAGTACGATAACATTTTCGCAATCTTCAAACGACAATCAAGTCAAGCCGGGCTGCAAATCTGGGTCCAGCCCAGCAAACGAGCCTTTCCGCCATCATTGAGCAAGCCAGAGCCCGTCAATACCGCGACCGGGATGAACAATCTCTCTGGCTGAAGCACAAATTCCGCTCCGCTGCGCCAACACAGAGCACGAAATCCGCCCGAAACCCAACAAGTCGCGCCGCATAATCTCCAGAGCTCAGGTTGCCGCCTAGCCGTAGATCCTGCCAAAGGCATCGCTGCGCTACCGACCGAGTACTTTTCGCAGCGCGTTCGATAAAACCTTTTGTTTTCTTGGAACATATTCTTTTTGCTGTTAGCGAATTAGCTGCAGCTTATCCGGATCATCGACCTGCTTGTGCCGCCGTACCATTGCGAATTCCAGGCCTTCAATCCCCATCTCCAAGTCATCTGCCCAAGAGTCGACGTGTTCTCTGGCCGAGACAGAGAGTTAGGCGCCAGCTCACCCGCGCGCCTGTTTGCTACTTGCTGCCTGTCTGCTGTCACTGAATCCAGGACACCTGCCTGTGTCCCGAGACGACGCATATTGTTGCTATTGCCTTGGGCCGCGGCACTGCGCTAAGGCATACATCGCGACCGGAGCCTCATCTAGTCCTTGACGGGGCCTCGGTGCCTGCCGCGCGACTCCTTGCCCTACACTCCTCAGCGACCGGCCCGCACGCGGCCGTATCTTCTTCACCATGTCTGCACCAAACTCCCGGAAACGAGCCGCCCCCGGTGCGTCGCCAATCGTACCGATCCAGCGGAATATGCAACAACCATATGCCACCGATAGTATTGCCGGAGCAAACCCTGTGATGCAGTGGAACGGTACCGACGGCACAACCGATCCCACCGACTACTTCAGTGCTGCCGCTGCACACAGTGAGAATCCCTACGGACTTGCGCAAACACAGCCGACGTACCCCCAGGCTGTTGGCGCGCCGTCAAACTCACTCGCACGCCGACAAATGAATCGCGCCCTGGTTCCCACGAATCTTCGAGCAACTTATGAGCCTTCTTCGGATCGGTGGTCTGGTTTTGGGGAGGACAACCTTCTCGTCCCGCAAAACGCCACGGAAGGCGGGGTTGGGCAAGATAACGTAGAAGTTTTGGAAGAAATGGCCCAAAAGGCCAAGAGAGAGGCTCAGGCCAAAAGAAAGCAGATTCCGCCGTTTGTACAGAAGCTGAGCAGGTAAGCATCTTCCTTAGACCCCACGTCCGGGGATCACGAACCTAACCGTTACACCAGCTTCCTCGAGGAACGAAAGAATGAAGACCTGATTCGGTGGTCTGAAAAGGGCGACTCTTTCATCGTGCTCGATGAGGATGAGTTTGCAAAGACGTTGATTCCAGAGCTATTTAAACACAATAATTACGCGTCCTTTGTCCGACAGCTGAACATGTACGGCTTCCACAAGTGTGTGGGACTCTCTGACAACTCGATGCGTGCTAGTGAGCGCAAAAATAAGAGTCCAAGCGAGTATTCCAACCCGTACTTTCGGCGAGGGCACCCGAATCTTCTATGGCTTATTAATAAGCCCAAGAGCGGTGGCAAGTCTAAAAAGGGGAGCAAGGGCCAGGATGGCGATGGCGACAGCGAAGAGGACGGCGGCCATGAAGAAACACCAAGCCACCAGGGTGTTCCGGTCCCCAACACCGCGGGCCGCTCTCTGCCCGCTGCCACTGGAACGGAATCACAACCTCTCCCCAAAAAGGAGATGGCACTGATCAAGGAAGAGCTGCAGAAAGTGAGAGAGCAGCAAAAGCTGATTCTCGGCGCCATCAACCGCTTGCAGCGAAACAACAATGACCTGTACAATCAGGCAATCATGTTCCAGACCCAGCACGACCGACACCAAAACTCAATCAATGCGATTCTCAATTTCCTGGCCAATGTCTTCAGAAAAACGTTGGAGGATCAAGGAACTTCGCAGAACGTCGGCGACATCATCTCAAGCTTGATGGCAAACCAGGGCCAGCAACCGTCCCACCAAGGCAGTGTTGTGGACTTGGGTGATTACTTTCAAGCTCAAGCAAACGCAGCCAACTCACTTGCCGTTCCTACTCCGAGAAAGTCTCAAAAGCTACTTCCACCGATCCCGCAAGCCGCCCAGGCGAGTCGGTCGTCATCAACGAGCAGCGCGCCGTATCACCCCCTCGGCGTTCACCCGGAGATGGGCCACGTTACGGAGCTTCTTGATACATCACCGTCAGATTCGACACCTAGCTTGAGACAGGAACTCGAGACAAACCCGCACGAACGGATGATGAAGATTATAAACGACCACAATGCAAGCAACTCGGCAGGCCTTGATTTGCCGGAAGCAACTGAGCTTGTCAACAACGCCCCAAATACCCTAAGCAGCGACCAAAGAAGCAAGCTAGTCAACCTCATGGCAGCGCAGTCATCAGCATCCGCGATACCAAACATACCTGCCGTGTCTGATCCTCTGGGGAAAATGTCTTCCCCAGGTATCACATCTCCCGCACAAGAAAGCACTACTGCAGCACCCTCACTTTCACCCATCTTGCGGTCACCAACCATGCCTGCTCCCTCTCTTCAGCATATTAGCACGAACCAAAACGATCTGGAGCAGCTCAAGCGTCTACAGAGCGAACAGGACGCAAAAATTCACGAACTGAGCGATATCCTGGGGCCATTGAGCCCGAACGGACACATTCCCGGCCTGGAAGATGGCGCCGAAGCGTACTTTGATCCTCCCAATGTGGACCTAGATCAGTTCTTTGATAGCAACGCTTTTCTGAATGACGCCACTCACTACGGAGACGGGACTGACTTCAACTTTAATCTGGACGCAGACGGGCTCGGCCAAGGGCTCAACCCAGGACTTAATCATAAATTTGACACTCCGAGTCCTACGGGGACTGAAGAGATTCAACGAGATGATTTTGGGATCAAAGAGAGCCCCGGTCACGAGAATAAGAGACGGCGCATGGGCTAGTGTCCCAGTCTCTTGCAAACGATTCATCAAGACGTGGCAAAGATAGCCGACCATCTTGGACTCTAATATTTGCTTTTTTACATATGACATGAAGACTGTCGTGATCCATCAGACGACACCCTATGAAGGTTGCTTTGGCTTATTTTTTCCTATCCTTTTTCGGTACATCAATTACAAAAGAGGCTGTTTCGGTATTTCTTTCAAATCGAATCGCTCGAATCCCCAAATAAGAACAGAAAAATGGCGAGGCCTTTGTCATGAGAACATAGGGGCGGGTCAAATGAACACCGTCATCGAACTGACAAGGGCGACTACTCGACGCCGAGGTTGAAGCGATTGAACAAGATTTCACCCACGGATAAGCTGTGGCAATGCAGCAGCAATTTCTCAACACAAAATATATAATCAAACTACATTTACACTTCACATTGCTCAAACACAAAGGGTCTCAATAGCTCTCCCAATCTTAGGAGATGAAATCAGAGAAGGCGGCAAATTGGTACAAAGGAGTTTTCTATTGTGGACTTTGGCTTGGGGGATTCATACGGCCGGCATTTGTGATGACACACTTGGTACATAGTACACTTATTTTTTTTGTATTACATAGACATTTCTACGGAGTTGGAAGTATGACACTTGGAGGATAGTTGCGGGGGGATCCCTCTTTTTTTTTTCTCATCTCTAAAGCGGTAGCCATAGTTGAAATGGGATTGCGCTGTTGAATGAACGACTTGTTGAACGTTGAGTACGTGAATGGGTGAATGAATGAATGCATGCATGCATGCATGCGTAGACAAATAAGTTTGATGAATGCAGTTGTTCACAACAAAAGCCATACATTATACAAGAGTGTTCTACACATTCAACAAGAGACTTGCTAAGTTATTTTGTTCTTGTTATGTGTGCCAGTTCTCTGAATGCACAGACATTCATACATAGATAACTCTGAGATGAACGCAGTTGTTCACAGCAACAGCCATACATACAAGAGTGCTATGAACACATTCAATAAAAGAGTTGCTTGGTTATTCTGTTCTTGTATTGTATGCCAGTTCTTTCACCAACTTCTTCATATAATGCTGCTCTCAAGAAGCTCATCGTCAAGAAAATGCTCATTCCCTTTACTACCCAAGACATCCAAAGCATTTACACAGTTCTCAGAATGCCTCTAACAAGCATTACCAACATGCTCCCCTTCTGGTCGACCGCTCCTCCGGCAGCCCCAAAGCCCCCTCCTGTTGCCATTGCTCCCAAGGAACAGCCGATGCTTAGAATATGCTTCCCGCTTAAAATCCAAAGAGGAGGGAACTCTTGGTGGGAATACGAAGAGTATCGGGTCCTGTTTCGGGATAGAATGATGTGGCGACAGGCGTTTGGTCTTCATCAGCAAGATGATCATGAAATGAGGTATCATAAGACCGCTGGTACGTGTGCCGTTAACGACGACGATGATACTGCTTTCAAAAGCCGTTGGTCAAGTTCAACGTCGGCAACGGAATCAGATATCGATAGTTGTCTTTCCGGCGCGAGCATGTCCTCCAAAACATCATCTCAGCGACTAAAGCACCTCATGACCCGTATGCTGCTATCAGCGGCTTCTTCTCGGTCGAGTAAAAGCAGAGAAGGATCGCAGTCTTTCGCATCTTCTTCCTCATCATCGAAACGCTCTACAAAACAGCATCAGAAACTCCGACCTGAGCCCCTCAAGTTACTGTCGAAAAAGATGCAGTCCCCTGACAGTGAAGCGAACGAAACGCAGCGTCACCGCGACGATGCGCTCCGCTCGCTTGAAGGGAAATCTCAAGCCCAAAATAACATGTCTTTTGCGACATTTCGGAACATGTTCAATGCACGAAAATGGCAGGATGAAGACGTACTATCACCGGTTCAACGTACTTTCCCTTCTCTTCAACCGAAAACTACGCCGCAAGATCAGAGAGTCATCGGCCTCTCGTCCGAAGAATGGGCTGATCTCAAAGATGACATTCTTAAAGGACTAAAGAGTGATATAGGTGGGATATTTCCCCCTTATACAGAAGGCCAAAAGGTCATGGTCATGCCCGTGCAACACGTAGAGAGCTTGTTGTTCAGAAGGCAGACAGTTCTACCTGGAGAGAGCATGCAAAGGGTTGGTCTGAAAGCAGCGTTGGAGAGTATTGAAGCAAATCATTGGGAAGACATTATTTTCATCTCGTAAAAAGATACGCCGGAGGTGATGAAGTGGTGGCAGACGACGAGGCAGCCGCGAATGCTTCGATGGGGGAGGAATATGCTTTGAGGAAGGGGGTTGTTTGTGAAAGACGAGATTTCAGACAAGAAGGGAAAGTAAATGGTTTGTTCAGTTCGGAGTTGAGTTGTTCCTGGCTTTTTGTACTGTTTGTTTGCTTACTTGTTTGTTTTTTCTTTTATTTTTTTGTACTGTCAAGGAACGATATTTCCAGCTATTAGGGGACTTTGTTAATGGATTTTATTAATTTTCTAAGGAGTAGCTGTCCAGCACCCCAGCGAGTGTGTGAAGTTGAAACATTGTAACCAGAAAGCCGTTTATTTCAGTATTACTGATAAGACATTCCTTTAAGTAGTAAATATCCAGTTGAGTTCTTCAACTATCTGCTGCGGGCCAAAGAAATCATACCTTCTGGGACTGACCCAATCCCACGGACGTTAAAGTACCTAGGTAAGCGACTACGGCTGCGCATGGGCCGGCTGCAATTGACTTTTGGAGATGGTATATCGTTTCTCTCAGCTGGCCCTTTCGAGATTTGAACTCTTCTTGTTCAAGGACTCTCCATTCATGCTCGCGACAGTTCTCTGCCTCATTTTCTGTTTCGTTTTTTACAACTCTGCCCTCTGTTACCACTATTTTCTTTTTAGACAGACTATAAAGTCTGTCCTGTTTCCCCGTGCAGTTCTCATCGTCGTTTTCCCGCGTCAGATTGCTCTGTTGTCTTCGCAAGAGACTGGTGTTTCCCGTTATTTAATAATTTACAAAATAATCCTCTTTTGGGGAGCCTGTTCTGTTTATCTAGCGGGTTTTCTATTTGCCCAGTTGGGCGGACATAGAAAGAGTCAGCAATCTGTGGTTGAAAAAGTGTCTCTTCTTGAACTAGCGCTCCTAGGAGACTGGTACTATTTCCGGGCAACCGTTAATCCTGAAGAGTGATCCGACTCTTCTGCAGTGAACTTTCTCCACCATTAATCGCAAGTACATCATCAAGATGGCCGAGTCAATGATGGATAAGGCTGTTAATTTTCTAAGTACTTGTAAACAAACAAAGAAAAGAATAGCTATTATACCAAATACTAGAGGGATATATCCATAGTAGTAGATACTAGAGGAATATAGTTATAGTAGTAAATACTAGATGGATATAGCTAGAGTAGCAAATACTAGAGAAATATAGCTAGAGTGGCAAATACTAGAGAAATATAGCTAGAGTGGCAAATACTAGAGAAATATAGCTAGAGTAGCAGAATATAGCATCAGTAGTAGATAATTAAAGAAACCCCCTGGATATTTATTTATTATAACAACAGTAATCCAAAATAGGCATATGACGCGGAGAACCTAATACAGAGTCAACGACAGACCTTTAAGTCTGCCTATTGGAAAAAAAAAAGGGGGGGCGGGGGGCTGTAAAAAGGGGGCTGAATCGTAAAATCGAGGCAGAAAACTGTCGCGAGCATATGAGAGTTCTTGCAGGAGAAGAGTTCAAATCTCTCTATAAAAAAAAAAAATAAAAAAAAAACCAGCTGGAGGAGGCGAGATATCTCCAAAGTCAATTGTAGAGACGGAATATTGAGGAGAATCCTCTGGGGGGCGTGTCCATGGCGCATAGATCATGTTGGTTTGGTTGAGCAAGACCTCTTGGAGCCCCTGTTCAAAAGCATCGTTGTTGCAGTAGTTCGAGAGGTTCCGAATCATGAAGCGGGTCAAGGCCGTGACTTTATTCCAGTCCCATCCATTTTGTCGAGCTTGAGGCCGAGACAGAACGTGGAAAGGGCAAAAGACTCTATCCAGGCGGCGCGGGGATGGGATTGTCAGGTAGTACTCGAACTCGTACTGCGTGAGACCGTACGTGGATCCAATCTGGACAAGAGTGGGATACATAGCCGTGCCAGCCTCAATTTGAGAAGCCCGAGCGTCGCTGGGCTTGTCTTCGCTGACACGAAAAAGGTTCCGCGAATTGAGCCCGGAAAGCAAACGGTCGACTATAGGGAGCCTGGCCCCTGTTCTGAGTACTTCTGACGCCTCTTTGTGCTCTTCTAGAGTCCAATGCTGCCATGCCTTGATTTGATCCACATGTGGAAGCTCCAAACGGAAAATGTGAGACATGGTGGCGACATTCGACAGCGCGTTGTCTGTCCATGCCCATTGACTTTTGCGCTTGTCGAAACTCATGTTCTCATCATCATGGTAATTGAACCATGAGGCAACCAAAGGCGGATGGAGGGGCGGGTTCCTCTTCTTGGAGAAGTTGACAGCTGTCGCAATGAAGCATACGTTGGGGTTGGCGTGGTATGCAATGCGGTTGTTCTCTTTGATGGCGAATGGGTATATGGCCTCCAAAGAGATGGCGCGGGGACCTGGGGTCCATGACAAGGGAGTTCCAGTATAGTCGCAGACTCTCGTTACCATGTCACCATTGTGAGGCTGTAGAGAGTCGATCAAGCCTGTGAACATTGGTCCAAAGTCCGTATCCAATGTTTCCGGGGTTGCAAGAGGTGATTTCTATTATAGGAGTGTCCATTTATTCAGCCTCCCAAATTAGCTATTCAACTATTGCTACTTTCATCTACTATCTGCTAACTTCTTCCAGTATTATATAATCTCTTCCATTAGCCGGTAGTTTTTCTAGTATTATTTACTCTCTTCTAGTATCCGCTACTCTCTTCTAGTATCGATACTTTCGTTTACTATCCGCTACTTTCTTCGACTACTTACTACTCTCTTCTGCTGTCATTACTTTCTTCTACTATCTGCTAAAAAGTACAGTTAAAATTCGTTCATGCTTTGAAAGAGATCGCAGTATTCCCGCTTTACACTTGTCCTTGATCTCCTTTCTTCCCTCGTCGTCCGTCTATCTGCTCTGCCTGCCTGCCCGCCTGTGTTTACGCTGCGACTTTTGCCGTTTTTTGATCTACTGTGTAGATCAGTCCCCCCTCTTCCTTCGTCGTTCGCGTTTCTGCCCCAGGTAGCAGCGCCTTTAGTTCTTCCTGTTGGACCAGTTTTCTTTTTTTTTTTCCTAGTACTTTTCATTTGGCGTCAAAGCAGGGGGTTCTAAAGGTTGCTGTCTACGTGTTTACGCCTACGTTTGCAGCCGGCATCATGTCTCCCAGCAGCAAGTCCTTCTCCAATTGCTTTATATTCATCTACTAACCGTGGATTATAGATTCCCCCACACAGGCAGCTCAGCAGAAGAGAAGTGCATCTCCAACTGTACTTCCGGCATCACAATCACTCCAGACGGACGCTTCTACTTCCCCCTCACCTCTCTCTCACCTCCCCCTCAATCGTCTTCCCGTCGGACATTCCGTGGACGGAACATTGTACAAGATGACGACGACGAGGATGGCGTCTCCGTGATCTACCTAGCCTATATATCGCCTCACAACCCTGCTACACATGGGTAGTAATCGTTGCAGTGGATGAAGCCGCCAACATGAACCGAGCCGACCTGTACTGTGTTTGGGGCAACACTCTCTCGCCTTGCTTCCTTGCTTCATTTTTGGCGACCCTAAGCAGCTACCTCCGACCGTTTTGACAACCAACGATAAAGATGATGGCGACAACTTCCTCAACCGCTTCTCAAAATCTGGCGACATATCCCCCCTCCTTTTTTTTCCAGGCCAGTAGCATCCCCGTCTATCGTCTTACAACGCAGTTGCGGATGGGTAACGGGCTTTTCGATATGGTCTCTCGCATCATCTATCAAGGGTGCCCCATGTATATGCCACTAGCTGCAACGTTGCGACCGCCTCTTTGGACTCTGGTAGGGCCCTGGAGAACTACATACAAGAAAAGTATCCGACTGTCACTCCCTCCCCCGCGGGCAAGCTCCTCCCAGTCTTTATACACACTCCAGGCGCCCGAGTCTAGCCCGACGATACCACAGGCTCTAAAAAGAGCATTGACCAGGTCACCATTGCCCTGGACTTCATGGTCGATCTAGTCGAATCCAAGAAAATCTGACCCCTCTAAGATCGGCATCATCTCCCCGTATGCGGCCAATGTGGAGCTCCTCGACCGCATGATGCGCAAAAACGCCGTATACGAGGCACTCAAGGGCGTCCCTCCGGCGTCGACAGTTGATTCGTTCCAAGGTCAAGAAAACGATATCATCTTTGTCGTGATGGGCACCACCTACCCCAGACCTAGGCCTGGGTTTACATCCCAGGAGCAGCGTCTTAATGTGATATTTATACGGCGTTGTAGTAGATGTAGTAGATGTAGTAGATGTAGTAGATGTAGTAGATGTAGTAGATGTAGTAGATGTAGTAGATGTAGTAGATGTAGTAGATGTAGTAGNAGTAGATGTAGTAGATGTAGTAGATGTAGTAGATGTAGTAGATGTAGTAGATGTAGTAGATGTAGTAGATGTAGTAGATGTAGTAGATGTAGTAGCTATAATATAGTGATTGGTTAGTAATATTAATATTACTGGAGAATTATTGGACGATGAGGGCAATGGCTTGAGCAGGACAAAGGATAATGGCAGTAACTTGCTGGTAGAGTATCCTAAACGTCAAGGCTATTTCGTCAAGGCCTCACTCAATCCCTCGTAAGGTCTATAAATCGTTTCACAGAGCTGGCCGGCTCATCACTATCCCGGTTACCAAAGAAGCAGATTGTGAGGATCAGGCCAGTTTCTTCTCCATCATTTTACCTTTAAAGTACAACAATCGAATTCAACAATGATGATAAGCTATCGAAAATAGCCTGCAACTTTATGAAACGCCAGCTTACTTATGCAGCATCTCAGCGCAGAGCATGATTTGCTGAGCGTGATCAGGGCCATTGTAGGGCTGCATTTTCCCTCCCAGCTTCAAAAAACGGTATCAAGGTTCTTCGCCAGTCCGTGATCTGACGTCTTGTATCGACGTTCAAGGTTTGTCCCCATCTGATGGGAGTCGTCAAGGTGGTTCGCCAGATCGTCGCTTTCTTCCTGATACCTCACTGTCGCTAGTTGACGGAACTGTTGTGTGGTTGAGTGGGCAGTGTTTCTGTCAAAACGGTCCTGTAAGATCATCCAGGCCTGGTGTGATGATGGAGCTTCTGTACCAACATCACAAGGTCGATGTGTACGGCCGACATAATCATCACCAACGCTTTGTTGTCGTCCCGTGACCATTGGGCAACTCGTTCCGTCTCATGTTCTCTTCGCCTTCTGTCTATAGCATTTTCCTGGTCATATTGGCTTCCAACCACTGACTTTTCCCCCCTTCAACTACACCTGTTGTTCTATAGCTGAGTATTTTCTAATCATCAATCTCTCGGTCTCGGATAATGACGCTTCCTCGGCGGTTTTCCATCCAGATGGGCCACCAGGTAAGAACCCCTTCTGTATTATCATTGAGATACACTACCAGATGCCTCAATATTGTGTTTGCATGTTGCCATACACAAGTGAATAAGGTATTAATTTGTGAGTTCTCTGGGAGGCTTGAGCAACCACTTTGATGAAGGTGTCTATTCTCCGACCCATTCATTACATGCGTATCTAGACAAAGAATGCATTGTGAAGAAAAGAAAAAAGAAAAAGGAAAAAAGACCCTCCGTTGGAAATTCGAACTCGAGACTTCGCCAACAAAAAAGAATAAGGTGCAGTTGCCTAGGGACGCCAATCTTTAGGTCGGAATCGCGCCAGTCCTCGAAGGGAGCTGGCCCATAGGCAACTACACCACTCCCGAGGGAGCGATAGATGTCACGTTTTTTACTCTTATATATGACTCTCCAGAGGTCACTTTTCCATGTAGCATTCGAGTTCACCAGTCCAGGCATAAGTACCAAGTCTGCAGTAATTACGGACTCACCTTTGGGGAAGAGAGCGGGAGTATCTGTTTCTCGGGGGCTTTGTATGAACAAAGAATATTGCCGAATTCTTACGTTCCCTTTGATGCAAATCAACGAGTTCCATCTTTATCAGGTAGTACACAATGACACCCTTGAACCTATGACCGAGATAGTGCGTATTACAGAAGAAGGTCTCTCCGATATCCGGGAGAGATTCACAGAAATGGATGAGACCATGTACGTGCAGACAATGTATATTCCCGCAATTACTTCAATATTAATTGTATTTTAAGATCTAAGCTGGAAAATGAACAAAAAAAGGGATTCAATGCCGGTGTGCCCCCTGTGATACTGGGGTCCAACACTTGACTTGTCCACTCTTGAACTCTGGGGAGATAGAAGAA